ACAATCTCTATTTCTCTCTATCTGGCCCTAATTTTAGTTTAACAATGAAGTCTGTATATGTGAGCTTGTGCGAAATACTAGGATAGAACATTACATGACTATTAGGGTTTAATTGACCTCTATGCAAAATCTTTTCTGGTCGAGTCCGAATGGAAATTTGTCTTAAAGGGCACAAAGCCGCCCAGACGTGGATCCTGAATGGGGCCGCGCCTCTGATAAACAGAAAAATGCGATAAAGAGGGCCATCTTAAGACGGAGAGGGATTATCCCTGGATTCCATTCATGCCCGTCCGGCCGGGACGGGGACGGTTCTTAATTTCCGGCGGGATAATTCACGGGTTTCCGCTCTCCGGCCAAAGGGGGAAAAATGTTTTCTGGTCTCATTATGTCGGTTGTTGTGTTATTTTCGGTGAGTATTTTTGTGTCGAGATAACTGGATAAGGGAATTCTTTGAGGTTGATTCTTTCTATCATTCCACTTTTTACTGAGACTAGTCATTCCTTTGGTTACATATACATATTATACCGTAGGAACGCTTACGAAGAGGATGAAATATACATATATTCCTCAATTTAAAAACTTCGCTCCTGTTTTCGACGTAGAAATGCAAAAGAAACGGTCTGTGTTAAAATCCACCGATTCAGGATGAAAACCGATCACTTTTGCCTTTATCAGTTTTCACGGCACACTTTAAAAAAAATCTTTATCGATATTAATTAAATTGTGGAATTATTTATGGTCATTTTTTTACTGGCATTACTGACTTCCATTTTTAGCTTAAAATGGGCCTAACGACCTAACGAAACTTTTTTTTTATTGAAAGAACTTTTCTAGGAGCGATCATGCGGCTCGGGGCGCCGGCGACTGTGATCGTTATCAGCCGAAGAGCTGGAAAAGTTCATGACCTTCCTTTTTTACCACTTACCGAAAAAAGTACACGCCTTAAAAAAATAAATAAACTTAAATAAAAAAAATATCAGAATATAAATAATTTAAAAAATATACAGGTATATACAGGGTGTATCAACTTCTATAGTCCACCCATTTAATTCGAAAACGATTAACTTCAGCAAAAACTGGTCTTATACAAACCCCAAGTTAATTTTGGCTAGACATTGATTGGTGATACCAGATTTAACATAACTTTCTCATCTAGCTGGAAAATGACGCTAACTTTGTTATTTTAAATGAAAATCCCATATTTATATTAAACAATTCGATTCTAGAGCTTATTTTATGCCACTTGTACTGATAGGAAAATTTTGATAGGATGGCCCATTTTTGAGTTATGCCCGACGGAAGAAGCGATGGGGTATGCTTTTTGGAACAAAATTCAATAAAAAATTAACTTGGGTTTTTTATAAGACAATTTTTTGATAAAGTTAATCGTTTTCGAATTAAAAAGGGATGGGCCAGCTTGTTACAAAAAGCACACCCCCACGCGTCTTCCGAGGGCATAACTCAGAAATAGTCGATCCTATCAAAATTTTCCTTTCAGTAAAATTGGCTTAAAATAAGATAGAGGAGAGAGAGATAGATACAGACAGAGACAGAGAGAGAGAGAGAGAGAGAGAGAAAAGAGAGAGTGTATGTGTGTGAGAGAGTAAGAAATTGTACCAAGTTGAGCCGTTAAAAATAATAAAGTAATTAAGAACTCTATAATAGTAATTATCTTGTTTGTACAATTTGTCAGTTTTTCTATATTGGTAGTTATATTGCAGCCTGTTAGATTTTATTGCAGTTTTCCTATCTTTGTGTTGCCAGTTGTCGTAATTATCAATTTATTTTTATGTTCGTCCATTTATTTCGTATTTCGCCTGCCTTTTAATTATATTCAAGAAAGCTTTCTTCTTCATTGTAATTTCCTATATATCAATTCAAGGTGATAGGCCGCTTGCACCGTTTTTACCATTCTGGGATCCAACCGCAAACAGTATCTTTATGCGGAGAGAGCGACAGCGACAGCGAGAGAGAGAGAGAGAGAGAGAGAGAGAGAGAGAGAGAGAGAGAGAGAGAGAGAGAGAGAGAGAGAGAAGCTTAGGGAAATAAATCGGGAGAGGAGATTTAGATCGTTTAATTAATAACGCGGTGGCGGGGCCTCTCACGCTTCGGTACTTTCTCACAAAGGTCTTGAACGACTCTTGAGTCCCACGCGCTCTGCACCTCTTCACGAAAAACAGACGTTGCCTTTTGGGTGTGAATTCTCAAATTATAACTGTTCCCGCCGTGATTAGCAACTGGAATTAGGTACAATTAACATTAAACGGCGAAAAAAGGTCTTAAAAAATTATTCCTGATTTGGGGGCTGTCGGCCTTTATCTAATTTATTTAAACAAAAAAACATTAACACACAAATTTTCTAAGTTTAAAAAATCTTTTACTCCGCCAGATACATCATTTAGCAATAAAAACGAAACAATTACTGTACGAACAAGTACGAAAACAATAATTCCCCCCAGATCCGGCCCGGAGGACCAACTGGATGTCCTAGTGTAAAAGCTTAATATAAATTCCATATCTCTCTCTCTCTCTCTCTCTCTCTCTCTCTCTCCTTTTCTCTCTGAGTGTGTTTGTATGTAAAGATTCTCTTTTAGTATATAATAACATAAATCGTCATGTAGTTCCAGAAAAATGAGCCTCTTTTGTAAAATGTGCACTTTGTCGCCCAATTTTGGGCTGACACGGTTCTGAATACCATTACAATTTTTTCATCAATAATATCCTTATTTCTATGACTTGTTTATTATTACCTTTTATTTATTGCTTATTACCTTGAAAATACCTGTTATAAATTTAAAGAAACAGTGTACGCCCACGTCAGATTATTTACACTTTACATACGTTTACGATTCCACAAGTGTCGCCCGGTTTATTTATTTTGTTTGTATTTTTATAGGTGCAGTTCGGGAATAAATAATGGACATGCCATAAAAACAGCAATCGTCATATCTTAAGATAATAAGATAATCTGAGTTGAAGACTGAAAGAGGAGAGGGTCGGTCAATTAGAATTACTCTAATGATGAGTGGGCGATACATATTTGTATTTTTAATGTTAAATAAAGTTTTGTTTTCGTGTTAAAAATTACACACCTGTTGAAAATAAAGAAATTAAGTAGTTATTTTATAATTTTTATTATGTATCATGGATTTTTTAAAGACTTATCTTCTTCTTTTATTTATAATTTGTTTAAAACACACACACACAAATTGTAATTATTTTGTACTTCATCACGGTCTCAACAAGGGGAAGACCGAATAGCGAAGGTGGGTGGACCAAAATGATATGAAACGACAACTACAGTTATACTGTGAAATTTTTTCCTGTGGCTTACGTGGTGGAACGTGTTAGAACCTTTGCTTACTGGTGTCACATCATTTTGGCCTTCATATCCTTGCTGTTTTTATCTGTCAGACACGTTTCTGCTTTTGTCCATCTTCAATAACGGGTAGAATACGTTAGGGATGTATATTGAAGGTTAGGTTTTATTAACGACTGTTAGTGGTGGTAGGAAATGTAGTGTCCCAGAGATGATTGGAGATTTATAGTGATCGTCAGACATGGCTGGAAGTGGCTTGCGATAGTTAGAAATGGCGTGGTAGGTTAGTATTGGTTACAAATGTGTAGTGATCATATATGGTTGGAAGCGGTTAGAGATGGTGATAGCTAGAGATGGTTTGATATGGTTAGTGATGGCCGGAAATTTATAGTTATCGCCAGATATTTCGTTCGTGGTTAGAGGTGTTTATGGATGATTTGAGATGGTCAACCAACGTTTAACGATGGTTGAGCTGGTTGAAAGTAATTACAAATAGCTTGAAAAGGTTAGCGATGGTTAGATTTTTTTTAGTTATCGTAAGAGATGGTTGGATGTGGTGAGGGATGGTAGAAAGGGTTTAGTGATGGTTAGAAATGTTCAGAGATTTTAGTGATTGTTAGAGATGGTTGTAAATGGTTAGAGACGGTTAGAAATGGCCTGAGAAAGTTAGTTATTGTTAGAAATTCTGGCACCCAATGAAACGATAAAATAAAAGACACATCCAGCTCTGGTGATGGCATTAAACCGGGTTTCTATATTATCTTGAGTTTGTTGTGTACCATCTTCAGTGAGGAACTGTTTTTGAGGATGAGTTCAAGTTTTCTATCGGTAATGGTAGAAAATTGTTGCGAGTCAGAGATCAACCAACTCAATTATTTTTTATAAATTATATGGTACGTTGATAAATTTGAGTGGGAAATTGTCTTGTAAACGTACTAGGAGTGTTATCTAGTAAGAGGTTGTGTATATATATGTTTTTTTTGTTTTTATAACGCGGGTATTTCATAGGTTATAATTAAGAATCCTCATGGTGTCGGTGTTTTGAAAAAAAATTTGTAGGTATGTCGGGTGCGAATGCAGGGCAGCTGGATTCGAACCCAGGACTGTCAGGGATCTTACAGAGATGAGAGCTGTGAACGCCTAAACTGTTGCGGCCAAGATATTTGTTTAAAAGGCTGGTTTCGCTTGGAAAAATTGGCAAATTACAGAGTGGAAGGACAAAGAAACCCCTCCCCTCGTCTTCTCATAAAACATCGTCCACAATTGAGCGGTCCCGGGCTACCATCGTGTCATTTGCATAATGCTCCTGCTCCGGGCAGTAATTAGCGTTCGTCCCGACGGACCGGGCTCGGCTGGTAACTGTAAAAAAAATTTTCCCAAAGGCCAAGGAACGGTAGAGAGTCATGGGAGAAAACAACGACTCTTGTTATGATGACCCACATCAGGCGGTTCTGTTTTCTTCCTGGAATGCGGGAATGAGCGGAATTATCGGTTTTCTGTTCCTCTCCCTCCTCCCCCTTCCCCAACATAAACGAGAAGGCGAACGACTCAGAACGGGTCGTTAAAAGTGGAAAGTGAATGAAAGTGAACGAACTCCAACTGGAGCTGGAATGGAAGAGCTCAGGCGGAAAATGGCCGGCCGGCAAGGACGAGTGGGCGATTGGGCGATGATGGCACTCACCTCAGACATGAGATGGATTTGGACGATCACACCGTACGAGTGGCATCTTCAATGCTCATCCTGCAATCAAAAAACAATCCAATTTAAAAAACAACGAAATATTGGTAAAGCAAAATGTACAAAAGAACATGGTCAATTGCTATCATTAACACATATAGTGTGAAAAAGATAAAGAGGAATATACCAAGTAACTGAAAGAGAGATATCGCATATCTTTTACCAAAAAAACGTTCTTCTTCCATGTTTCTTGTCTCTACAACAGTACATATTAAACTGATCTATGAGAAAGTTGAAAATCACCTATCATAACATACAAAAGTCAAAACTTAAGCCAAAACCGGTGACCTTTTTCTTTTTGGGTTTTTGTTTCTGCTCAACCTTTACGAAATCTGACGCAACGGCCCGTTTTCGAATTTCGCAAGTCGGCCCCGGCAGACGAGAAATGCAGTTCTGTTCGTTTTTCTGGGTCAAACGCCGATCATAAGACAAACCCCCCCCCTCCCAATAGCAGTATGCAGAAATGCGCACCTACTTGCGGACCAAGACGGGAGCGGATTTTTTTAATGAACTTAAACGTTTCACGAATAAATCAAACTCCAAAAAAAATTATTATGGCACATACGAGGGATGGTTTTATTGGCAAAACAACGAAGGCGGACCTTAACCATTTGACGTCGTCATTACTATACAAAACAGGGTATTACAAATAAAATAACAACTTTTTTCATCTCAAGTACAATTTAACCCGCCCCTCTCACAATTCAAGTTTATTAAGTCCATTAAGACCGATTAACCCTGGGTGCGGGCTGGATACGATTGAAAGAAGAGTTGGACCGGGATTGGTGCCTGTTGTACTTTTATTATCGTAAATATTATGAGTGTTATCTTCAAATAGCATTATCTCGACCGAGAGGCAAACAAAAACGGCCGTATCGCATTGCAAACATTATTTTATGCTTGTCTGTCAAAACAACGCAAAGCCCGACGGCTTAATTGATTAAACTGACTGTCACCCAGGGGTACAAAATAAATAAACTTTAAACAATGAAACTTTTGATACTCTGTCCTTTTAGAAAAATCCCCCCCCCTCAGAAAGAACAAAATTTAACGAAGGGCGTGCCGTTTTATATTGTATTTTCACAATTAGGCCGTTCAAAAAAACAGACTCGTTGAAAAGGGACGTAAAACTACATTTCTGTTTTCGTTTTAGTAAATGCAGGAATTTGTCGCCGTGGTGTTGAATAAATCGAGTAAAACGATGGCGCAATCAAGATCCAGGTGTGGCCGGGTTTTGCCTATTTTTTACCTATTAAACCTATTTAAAATAAAAACATTCAACAGAACTTTCGACTCATAGAGCGTAGAAATATAAAGCGGCCAGTAATTAACAAAACAAAATAATAATAATAGAAAAACTAATAATAAACAGATAAACGGCAATATCAGACACTTGACCTATCCACCCAAAGTCGTTTTATTATAATTTATTTTTAATTATTAAAACTGATTAAAAAATATCATAAAGAAGGGCAAAACTTCTAGAAAAGATAACCGTAACTCTTTTATCACCCTCTCTCGGAATCAAGCTTATCTTTTCACTTTTGCACAAATTACGTAATTCCGCCTAAAAAAAATTGTATAAAATGCTAAATTACTAAACGCCTTTTGCTGAATGAGTCGATGTTCTTGTATTGGACGGTTTTTCCACTGGTCATCTACAAGAGTAGTCCTCGAAGGAGATGATTTGAACACGACAGTGCAAATTTCCCTTAAAAAAACATCCGGCTTTTTATTACTACTGATAAAAATCCCTAACTACGAAGTTCTGATATCTAACAGATGGTTAATGACCAATTTGTTCTGCAACTAAGAAGTTCTGACTCTATTCTCCCACATAACTACAAAGTTCTGACCACTTTTTTGTACAACCACAACGTACTGAACCCTATTCTCCCGAAACTACCAAGTTCTTATACTTAATCGGACCGTTTTCTTAATAATTACCGAGTTCTGACCTCAATTCTTACATCACGACAAAGTTCTGACTTAATTTCTTCAGCATATACAAAGTTCTTACCCCTAGTGTCCCATAACCACAAATTAATTACTTACCTCTATTCTGCTAAAACTACGAAGTCTTTTACTTAAGCGGACCATTTTCTTATGAACCTATACAGTTGTGACAATTTTCTTCTCCAACTAAAAAGTTCTTACCCTATTCTCTCATAATTACAAAGTTCTGACCACAATTCTTATAAAAACGATAAAGTTCTGACTAAATTTCTTCAGCATAAACTAATTTCTTACCCCCAGTGTCCCACAACCACAAAGTTCTTACCTCTATTCTCCTAAAACTACGAAATTCTTTTACTTAATCGGACCATTTTCTTATGGAACTACATGTTCTACTGCATCAACCAAGTTGTTACCGGTATTCTTCCATGCGTATCAAGTTTCTTCAGCACAACCGAGTTCTGAATCATATTCTCTCATAACTTCAAAGTTCTAGTTTCTTCTGCAGTTAAAAAGTTCTTACCTGCAACCAGAAAGTTCTTCCCCTATTTCTTACAACTGCAAAGTTCTGATACCTAAATAGGGGCTATTTTCTTCTGCAACTACGAAGATCTGACCACTTTCTTCTAAAACTACAAGTTCAGAACTCTATTATCCCACATCTACAAAGTTCTGACCCCTATTCTTCCACAATTACAACTTTTTCTTCTCCAACTACAAGTTTCTGGCCATTTTAAACCTAAATCTCCTGCTTGTTGTTCACTTCAACCAAATGTCCTTTTCCTTTTAATTTAGTTTTTGTTGTTACAACTCTTGCAACTAAAAATACAAGTTGCTAGCTTTATTCTATGTTATAAAAGTTCTGAAATATTTCTGCAACTAAAAAATTACCCTCGAGAATTATTTTTGCTGGTTCTGAACCTTTATTTTCTAATAAAACAATGAAGCTCATTTTCAGGCATTTTTCTCAACAATATGTTCTTTAACTATATGCCCTTGTTTGTCTATATTTAAAATATTCTGGACGTTGGTTTTTTTGCTAGCGCAAAGTTTTGAACTTTTTTCGCTGCAATTAAACCCATCCCCCACATCTTCCGTTTTTGCTTTTGGGGGAAGGAAATCTTGTAAAAGTCACAAGCCAAATCCCGACCCTTCACCCCAAGTGAATCTCCCAAAAGCGTTCTTATAAATAGGGAGGGGGTCCACCCGAAATACCCCGGAGAACAACACCGTTCGAACCGTGCGAGGGGGGCGAGTTTTCAAATGGGGTTGGTTCACGCAACCGGGGAATTTTCTCACGGTTGTAACTGGCTCTCTCAACACTCCGACAATAAACAAATAAAAACTAATTAACGATGATATAATAAAATTCGGTAACGGTGAAAATTAGAGGAACATCATCGCCATTGGACACAGGCGATCTTGTAACTACCTCGAATAATTAAAAAAAAAGGATCATAAGCTATGCGATCCGGACAAGTTCTACTAGGTACTTACGGGGTACAAACTTCGAAAATATTGGTGTCTTTACAAAACAAAAATTTCTTAAATATATAAATATACTTTAAAATACACATACAATATTATTTCAAAATTCAATACTGCGGAATATCGATTAACATAAAGAATCGCTCTTTCTCAATTTATACACTCTTTGATGGGAGATTTTTTATTTAATGGCTTAAATGTAGCCAAATATCAGTATTATAAGTGTATAAAAGGGTCAAGTCCAAACTACTGTTCATTGGGAGAAATGGATTTACAATAGCGGTAAAAAAACGAAGTTTACCTCATTTTGTCGTATTGTTCTGATGATGTAATGCCAATTTGGACGTCATTAGGTCTTTTAATGGCTAAAATAAGTCAAAGAACAGTTTTATAAGAGTTCCAAAGGATAAAGTCCTAACACTATTCAATTCTGAGAAATGGATGTTCAAATAAAGGGGAGAAAATATGAAGTTTCAGCTCTTTTTTTTAAATAACGCACCATTTCAAAGGCTGGTTTTAATTAATGTTGTGCCGTTCCAAGTTGTAATTTTCCTTGGAGACCTTTTTCTGGGTCTGGAACTAGCCGAATCTTTCGTCCGGATCGTTTGCCCTCATTGCAAAAAAATCTTAAACTTTTTAATTATTTTTCTTGTATGTAGCCAGATTTTGCTTTATCTGAAGGTGATGTTCTCAAAGATGGGGCTGAATTGCTCAACTAAACTAAAAAGATTAGGCAAGCGTAATAAGTCATCCTCAGCTGGGTCCCAGGAAACGTAGGATTTGAATGCAAGGAGAGAGCGGACGCCCTTGCAAGGAAAGGGGCTGGCTACCCCTCGGATAGGTCCTGTACCATTCTGTGGCATAGGGATTGAAAATGAAGAAACAGTGGAATTCACTTATTAGACTTTAACAATCTAGCAACCTTCTAACATCCTTTTAGCTATTCACTCATTGGACATTAACTATCTAACAACCTTGTAGCAATTCACTCATTGGACATAAACTATTTAACAGCCTTATAGCAATTCACTCATTGGACATTAACTATCTAACAACCTTGTAGCAATTCACTCATTGGACGTTAACTATCTAACAACCTTCTTGCAAATTTTAGAAGGAAAGAAACAACAGAATTCATCAAAGGAAGCAGGAAAAAACTGATTGGGCATCTGAAGAAGATTGGTATAACAGAACACGGCACAGATTAAAACAAACCAGCGGAGGCACGCCTAGTAACAACTGTGGCGCCATTTTTGACCACAGGAGTAAGTGTTTTGGGGCGTACAACGTAGAAGAATTCAACCACTGAAACTGGGCCTACTAAATAAATCCTTGATGAACTAGGACTTACCGGTGTGCCGTAAGTACAGAACGGTGGATACAATAGCTGTTAAGCGCAGTATGTTACACACCCCGAACATTACTTTTATATCTACATTTATCTCAAGGTAATTTCAGTGATTCTGATAGATATATTTTTACTGTGCCTATACAACAGGGCACATTTGGCCTGCTTTGTACGATATTTCGGTGCTTTTCGACGGGATTAGATCTTTTTT